AAATAAGATGTGGTGTATATATACAATGGAATACTACTCAACGATGAAGAAGAATGAAATCTTGCCATTTGCAACAATATGGATGGAACTAGAGGGTATTATCCTAAGCAAAAAAGTCAGTCAGAAAAGACAGAACGATGATTTCACTCATATGCGGAATTTGAGAAACTTAACAGATGACCATAGAGGAAGGGAAGGAAAAATAAGATAGAAACAGAGAGGGAGGCAAACCATAAGAGACTCTTAAATATAGAGAACAAACTGAGGGTTGATGGCAGAGTTGGTGGGGGTGGTGATGGGTTATGGGCACTGAGGAGGGTATTTGTTGGGATTAGCACTGGGTATTGTATGTAAGAGATTAATCACTGGAATCTACTCTCAAGCCAAGACTATACCATCTGTTAGCTAACTTGAGAGTAAATTTAAAAAGATATGTTTGGATGTAAAAATATCAGAAGTGAAAGGACAAAGAACAATCTGAAAAGGATAGTACAAAAACTATTCTATGCCATAGCATCGAAAAGAATAAACTCCATAGGAATTAACCAAGGAGGTTAAAGACTTCTACAATGAAAGGTATAAAGCACAGCTGAAAGAAATTAAAGAAGACCCAAATAAATGAAAACACATTCCCATGTTGGTAGATTGGAAGACCTAATATTGCTAAAGTGTTTGTACCACACAAAGGAGTCTACAGATTCAGTATAATCCATATCAAATTCCCAGTGATGTTTTTTGCAGAAATAGAAGAAAACCCAGCCTAAAATTTATATAATATCTCAGGGGACCCTGAATATCCAAAACAGTCTTGAAAAAGAACAAAACTGGAGGAGTCATACTTCCTGCTTTCAGAATTTACTACAAAGCTACAACCATCAAACAGTATGGTATTAGCTAAAAAAACAGACATGTAGATCAATGGAATAAAATAGAGGCAAGAAGTAAACTCCCATATGTTTGGCCAAATGATTTTTTTAATTTTTAAAATGTTTTTATTATTTTTGAGAGATGAGGGGTGGCAGGGATGGAGAGGAGCAGAGAGTGAAAGAGGGAGACGCAGAATCCACATCACAGGCTCTGAGCTGTCAGCACAGAACCCAACGCAGGGTTCATACCCACGAGCCATGAGATCCTGACCTGAGCTAAAGTTGGATGCTTAACCAACTGAACCGTCCAGGCGCCCTGGCTAAATGATTTTCGACAAGGGTGCCTAGACCATTGAGTGTGAAAAGGACAGTCTTTTAAACAAATGGAGCTGGGAAAACTGGATATCCACATGCAAAAGAATGAATTTGGACTATTACCTAACACAATATTTAAAAATTAACTCAAAATGGATCAAAAAACAAATGTAAGACCTAAAACTGTATAACCCTAAGAACAAAACATAGGATAATTGCTACATGGCATTAGATTTGGCAGTGATTTTTTTTTTTAATTTAATGACTAAAATTTATTATCTTAACCTTTTTTTTTTACAAATAGTTTATTGTCAAATTAGTTTCCACATAACACCCAGTGCTCATCCCCAAAAGTGCCCTCCTCCATGCCCATCCCCCTCCCCCCCACATCCATCAGTCCTCAGTTTTTGTCAGCATTCAAGAGTCTCTCATGGTTTGCCTCTCTCCCTTTCCCCCACCATTTCCCCCCTTCTTCTCCCCCTTGTTCCTCAGTTAAGTTCCTCCTAATCCTCCTATACGTGCAAACATATGATGTTTGTCCTTCTCTGGCAGTGGTTTTTTGGATAAGACACTAAAGGCATAGGTAACTAAAGAAAAAATGGACAAATTGGACTTCATGAAAATTAAAAACTCTTGTGCATGAAAAGACTTTAGCCGCAGAGTAGAAAGGCAGCCCAAAGAATTGAAGGAAATATGGTAAAACCTCGGATTGCAGTTAATTGAGTGTTCCACAAGATGAGCAAACATTTTTAATAAATTTTGACTTGATAAACCAATGTCTTGCAATATGAGTAGTTCGTGATGCTGAATATCACATGATCACAACTGAGGCAATGGTTCTTGAAATTGCTTTGATATACAAGTGCTTTGGACTACAAGCATGTTTCTAGAAATGAATTATGTTCACAAACCAAGGTTTTACGTATTTGCTGATCTTTTTTTCTGATAAGGGAATAATATCAGAATATGTAGAGAACTCTTAAAAGTCAACAAGAACCAAAACCAGTTCAAAAATGGGCAAAGGACTTATATAGACATTTCTCGAAAGAAGACACCTGAAAAGCCAATAAGCTCATGAATAAATGCTCAACATCACTAATCATTAGGGCAGTGTAAATCAAAACTATGAGATACCACTTCATATCCATTAGGATGGCTACTATCAACTCCTACACTGTTGGTGGGAAAGTAAACTGGTGCAGCCCCTCTGGAAAACAGTGTGGAGATTCCCCAAAAAATTAACAATAGAACTCCCCTGTGACCCAGCAATAGCACTGCTAGGAATTTACCCAAGGGATACAGGAGTGCTGATGCATAGGGGCACATATACCCCCATGTTCATAGCAGCACTCTCAACAATAGCCAAGTCATGGAAAGAGCCTAAGTATCCATCAAGGGACGAATGGATCAAGAAGAGGTGGTTTATCTATACGATGGAATACTACATGGCAATGAGAAAGAATGAAATCTGGCCATTTGGAGCAACGTGGATAGAACTGGAGGGTGTTATGCTGAGCGAAATAAGTCAGGCAGATAAAGACAGTTACCATATGTTTTCACTTATAACTGGATCAGGAGGAACTTAACAGAGAACCATGGGGGAGGAGAAGGGGAAAAAATAGTTGGGGAGAAGGAGGGAAGCAAACCATGAGAGACTCTTGAATACCAAGAACAAACTGAGGGCTGATGGGGGTGGGGAAGAGGAGAAAGGGGATGATGGGCACGGAGGAGGGCACTTGTGGGGATGAGCACTGGGTGTTATATGGAAACCAACTTGACAATAAACTATTTAAAAGAGAGAGAGAAAAAAAACAACAAATATTGATGAGAGTATGGAAAATTGGAACCCTTTGTGCACTCTTGGTGGTAAAATAGTACAGCTGCTTTGGAAAAAATTATTATTATTATTATTAATATTATTGTAATTGTTGCTTTTCCTCCCTTAGTCCTAGGGCTGGTGGCTGCTTTCTCCTGTTGCTACCTGATACCTTAGAGCTCCCTTATCTTTTCATTTATCTAGTATGATTAGTATAATTTGTTTTCTGACTGTAGCTCTCTGTTGTATACAGGTTCCACAGTTTGTGCCATCCATCTCCTGTGTCTGAGCAATTAGGTTGATTCCCATATTTCTTCCACAAATAATGTTACAACAGAATTGTGCATGTTTTCTTAAATTGTCGGAAGTGTATATTCCAAGTCTAGATCAAACCATAAATGAATATGTAATTTTTATTAAACATTGCCAGCTTCTGCATTATAATTGTGCCATTTTGCACCTCACAATTTATTAAAGTGCCTGTTTATCAACAGCTCCCCTAAGAGAGAGTGTTGTTAAGCTTTTGATTTTTCCAGTGTGATGGGTAAGACAGGTCTCTCCATAATGTTAATTTGCATTTATTTTATTGTGTGACATTGAGAACCTTTTCATGTATATATATGGGCCGTATGTATATCTTGTTTTTGTGAACTGTCTGCATTTTGAGAGGACCTTAGATGTTGTTATGATCAGAGCATTTATGTTGTGCTTGGAGTCTCTGTCATTTCCAGGCATTCAGAATCACCGTGGCATCAGAAGAGTCTCATCTTTTAAATCACATGGTTTCCCATCTGGACTTAATTTTTCTTTATTTCTAATATTTACATTTCAGTTTATGTGTTTTTGAGCATTGTTTGTTTCCTATTGCTACTTCTAGGTAAAATATCATCTGCGTTTGGTTAGGATACAGAGATCTGTCACATGGCCAGAAAGCATAGGCTGGGAGACATCCTTACTCTTTCCTATTCATCCCTCTCTAGGACCCAGGAATCCAACCTATAATGATGGAGGAAGTCCTGGTGAGCAAATCATTAAACATGTTTATTTTATTATCTTAGTTGCATACTAACCAATGCATATAATCATATGTATATTTTATAGATGTATATATGTGGGTATACACATTCTTAACTTGAAATTGTTTAAATTTATATTTTATCAAAACTACTTTTAATCCTATACATTTGGTAAACCTTAATCTCCTTTCAATTATTACATCAATATTCTGTCTTCATGTAGTTGTGGTTTAGTGTTTTGCTTTCGATATACTTTAATTCTTTGCAGATGACATGATACTCTATGTCAAAAACCTAAAAATCTCCACCAAAAACTGATAGAACTAATGGATGAATTCAGCAAAGTCACAGGATATAAAATCAATGTACAGAAATCTGTTGAATTTCTGTATACCAATAACAAAGCAGCAGAAGAAATCAAGGAATTGATCCTATTTGCAATTGCACCAAAAACAATTAGATACCTAGGAATAAATCTAACCAAAGAGGTAAAAGATCTGTTTTAGCCATTGAAACCCTAGAGGAGAAAGCAGGAAACAACCTCTTTGACCTCAACCGCAGCAATTTCTTAATTGACACATCCCCAAAGGCAAGGGAATCAAGAGCAAAAATGAACTACTGGGACCTCATCAAGATTAAAAGCTTCTATATAGCAAAGGAAACAATCCATAAAGCTAATAGGCAACTGACAGAATGGGAAAAGATAGTTGTAAATGACATATCAGATAAAGAACTAGTAGCCAAAATCTATAAGGAGCTCACCAAACTCCACACCCAAAAAACAAACAATCCAGTAAAGAAGTGGACAGTAGACATGAACAGACACTTCTCCAAAGAGGACATCCAGATGGCCAGCAGACACATGAAATGATACTCAGTGTCCCTCCTCATCAGGGAAATGCAGATCAAAACCACACTGAGATACCGCCTCACGCCGGTCAGAGTGGCTAAAATGAACAAGGCAGGAGACTCTAGATGCTGGCGAGGATGTGGAGAAACGGGCACCTTCCTACTCTGTTGGTAGGAAAGTATACTGGTACAGCCCCTCTGGAAAACAGTGTGGAGATTCCCCAAAAAATTAACAATAGAACTCCCCTGTGACCCAGCAATAGCACTGCTAGGAATTTACCCAAGGGATACAGGAGTGCTGATGCATAGGGTCACATGTACCCCCATGTTCATAGCAGCACTCAGCAATAGCCAAAATGTGGAAAGAGCCTAAGTGTCCATCAATGGACGAATGGATCAAAAGATGTGGTTTATCTATACAATGGAATACTATACGGTAATGAGAAAGAATGAAATCTGGCCATTTGGAGCAACGTGGATAGAACTGGAGGGTGTTATGCTGAGCGAAATAAGTCAGGCAGATAAAGACAGATACCATATGTTTTCACTTATAAGTGGATCAGGAGAAACTTAACAGAGGACCATGGGGGAGGAGAAGGGGAAAAAATAGCTGGGGAGACGGAGGGAGGCAAACCATGAGAAACTCTTGAATACCAAGAACAAACTGAGGGCTGATGGGGGGGAAGAGGTAGGGGGTGATGGGCATGGAGGAGGGCACTTGTTGGAAAGAGCACTGGGTGTTATATGGAAACCAACTTGACAATATACTATGTAAGGAAAAGAAAGAAAAATATTTGGACATTAAACAATCATTTCTAAATAATCCATGAGTCAAAAAAGTCACAAATAAAATATTTTAAATTCAACAATAAAGAAAACTTGACATGGTAAGATTTGGGAGCAAAACTGGGGGGATATAACTAAAGCCATGGTTAGAAAGAACTTAATAGTTTTGAATGTTCACATTAGAAAAACAGAAATGTGCAAAGTTAATTATCTGAGTTCCAATTTTAGAAAATTGATAAAAACAAATTAAACCTTAAGTTGCCTTTTAGTTGTATAGTTGACTTTGGCTCAGTAGAACTTTTCTTGAGGGCCATTCTGCCCTGTTCCATAGGATGTATCTGTGATTCCGAGCTTCATTGCTGTATTTACATTTCCAAGCCTTCATCTCTCTAATATTAAATTAAATCTGCATTCTTTTTTGTAAATATAGATTGCATTAGCAAGCCTACCACTGTCATTCAATATATGTAATTTTGGGAGGCGTGAATCAGATTCAGCTGAAGAAGTATCCCTTCTATGTCAAAAGTATGATAGATAGAGTAATTATGTGCAAATTAGCATTGATACAGCAGTAAATTTATGTTCTGTAGGTGACAAGCTATGACTTACTTGAATTGCCTTGTTATTTGTGTCTGAGCTGTTCCTTAGTCTGTTTTACTTGACAGTGTTTGTTTTATCATGCAGGGTACATCAGAGAAGGGTTCCTGGCCATACAGCATGCCATAGATAAAGCCATCATGCTCTATCATAAGAGCAGTGCTAGCCAGAAACTGTTTGATAGTATCAGTATCTTTATTCAGAGATTTCCACACCCAGCTTATTCTCATGATGGATTAATTTGGATCACTAGTAGCATCCTCCCTTTGATATTCATACTCATGTTCTCTCCAACTGTACTTTCCATCATGCGATCCATTGTCTGGGAACGGGAAAAAAGATTGAAGGTAATCCTAATTATTTTCTTTTTGTTTGTTTATTTCAAGTTTTTATTTAAAGTCCAGTTATTTAACATACAGTGTAATGTTTCAGGAGTAGAATTTAGTTATTCATCACTTACATATAACACCCAGTACCCATCCCAAAAAGTGCCCATCACTCATTTAACCCTTCCTATTCTCCTACCTCCCCTCCAGCAACCCTCTGTTTGTTCTCTATAGTAAGAGTCTCTTTTGGGGCACCTGACTGGCTCAGTCAGTGAAGTGTGTGATGCTTGATCTTGGGTTGTGGGTTCAAGCCCTGAGAGCTTACTCACTTTTGAGAGATTACTGAAAAAAAAAAGAGTCTGCTTTGTTTTGTCTTTGTCTCACACTCCACCCTCCATGTTCATCTGTAAAGATGTTTTTCGGCCTGTGATTTTCTTTCATATGGAGAGTTAGATTATTTCTAAATATTTATTATTGGTGGGTAGTTGTTACATCCCCATAGCAGCAAATACAAAACAGGAAGAGTGAATAACTGATGTCATTTATCAATTTTCTAAGCTGGCAGAATTTCAGAAAGAAAATTATCTCTTGGGAGCAGCGGGAAGGGAAAACCTGAAGGCATACAGAGAAACAAAAAGGGTCCTTGGAGGAATTTGAAGTCTAGTAACTAGAGTAACAGGGAACTTCTAAGACAACTCAGCTCTTGGCTAAATTAACTTAAATCCCCACATCTTAGGCCTATTTTCCTTGGTATCTCCTGCCCTAGATAACACGTCTGGGTTTCAACAAAAAATTATTAGGCACACCAAAAATTAAGAGAAAACATAGTCCAAAGAAGCAAATCAATCATCAGAATCAGATACAGGTAAGATGCAGATGTTGGAAATATCAGACAAGGAATTATAAATTACTGTAATTAATAATTTAAAGACTCCAAGAGAAAGGTAGCTATCTTCAGGATCCTTAAGACATTCCAGTTTCTCAAATTCTCTAGAAGGACTCATGGCAGTTAGTGTATAGTTAATGCTCACAGCTAGGATTTATTGTAGTGATATAGTAATTAAACATAGCTGGCTGTTAAGAGAATATGACACAGGCAAAACCTGGAGGCATTCACCTGCGGGCTTCTTCAAGTAACTCCACAAGAGGTCACACAGAGCACACTCTTGCCCCAGCAGTGAAAATCCAGCAATGTGTTTGTGTTGTTCATGTCCAAGGAAGTCAATTAGAAATTTAGCACCCAGGGGCGCCTGGGTGGCTTAGTCGGTTAAGCGTCCGACTTTCGCTTAGGTCATGATCTCGCGGTTTGTGGGTTCCAGCCCTGCGTCGGGCTCTGTGCTGACAGCTCAGAGCCTGGAGCCTATTTCAGAGTCTGTGTCTCCCTCTCTCTCTGGCCCTCCCCTGCTCACGCTCTCTCTCTCTCTCCTAGAAATAAATAAAAATAAAAAAAAAAAAAGAAATTTACCACCCAAGGTTTTGATGGGGGCAGGGGGCGTGTTGATCATGTAGACACCCTTTGCCTAGACTGCACCAAAATTCCACACTCCTAGAGAGCAGGTATTCAGTGTAAACCATGTCATTTGTACAGTTTTGGCACAGTCACCTACCCTTATTTAGGGAAAATTTTGTATCAGCATAGGGAACAGTTTAGACAACTTCCCATATATCAGCCAAGGGCCAACTTACATATATACCTTTCTAAAAGTAGTAGTCTCAGGCCTCCTTTGTTAACTCTTTTATGAATTGTAGATAACATGCAATATCAGATAGGTAATGATATTTATCAGAGAGATCAAAATTATATGGAGTCGAATAAAATTTCTAGACAAAAAAAAACCATGCTAACAAAAATGAATGCATTTGGCAGGCTCATTACTAGACTTAACTTGAGGAAAGAATCATAGAATTGAATATAAGACAGTTGAAATTACACAAACTGAAATGCAAAGAGAAAACAAAATGTTAAAACCCAGAAGAAAGTATCCAAAAGTGTAGGACAATATCACAGTATCAAATGGTATAATATCTACATAATTTAAATCCCCAGAAAAGGAGATGAGAGAATAGAGCCAAAGAAACAATGGCAGAGAATTTTCCAAAATTAATAAAAGACATCAAACTACATGTCTAAGGGAACACAAAGCAGGATAAATACCATACACAGAAACAGACAGACAGACGGACAGGCGTAGTATATTCAAACTGCTGAAAATGAAACACCAAAGAGAAAATCTTGAAAGCAACCAGAGGGGGGAAAAGACACATTGCCTATAAGGAACAAGTACAGTCAGCTTCTACTGTACAATTGGACTTATAAAGAAACGTAGACATATTTCTGTAATATTCCTGGAAGTACAGTATAATAGAAAAGAGATCTTAATATTTCAAAGTTTAATTTTTTAAAGTTTATTTATTTATTTATTTTGAGAGAGATAGCAGGGAGGAGCAGAGAGAGAATCTCAAGCAGACTCCACACTGTCAGCACAGAGCCTGCCCAGGGCTTGAAGGCACAAACTGTAAGATCATCACTGGAGCCGAAACCAAGAGTCAGATGCTTAACCAATTGAGCCACTCAGGTGCCCCTTCAATGTTTGATTTTAAATGTTTTTCCTTTTTGGTTCAGTACTAGGTGTAGTAATAAAGATCTCTGAACTCAGGAGAAATATATTTTAATGCCAGCAGTGGCCTTAACTGCATAATTTTCAATAGCATACACTCTGAGCCTTGATTTTTCTCATTCATAACATGGAGATGATGTTAACCAGTAACATAGATTTTATGGGAATTTCAATAGAAAAATGCATATAAGCAGTATGAATTAATAACATGCAATATTTGACTTGTGTTGACTTTTCTATAGGAGTACCAGCTTATCATTGGACTTAGAAACTGGATCATCTGGGCTGCCTATTTCTTCACATACTTCTTTTTTTATGTCATTATTATCTCTTTGATATGTGTTTTATTCTGTGCCAAGGCAAGTGTCTAATTTCATGCTGTCCAGTTGACATACCATGAGTCACATGTGTAATACTGATTTCTTAGTAGCCACTAGAAATTTTTAAAACCATAAAGAACTGGTGAAATTATGTTAATAATATTTTACACTTAACCTAATATGTACAAAATATTATTTAAACATGCAACCTATTTAAAAAATTAAGAAATATTTTATATTCTTTTTTGTACTGTTTTTAATGCTCCAGTGTGTGTTTTATACTTAAAACACATCTGAATTCATACACTATATTTTGATCCCCCAGAAATGCTTGATCTGTATTTGACAGTGCTTTCATTTTTCAGGTTAAATAAAAATAACTAAAATTAGATGAAAATAAAAATTTAGTTCCTAAGTCAGACTAGCTACATGTTAAGTACTCAGAACTACAGGTGGTTAATGGGTTGATGGCTTCTGTATTAGACATCTTCTTTCTAGAGCATCTTAGCCTACTCTAGGTATCCTTTGGAAGGGAAAAGGTAATTATAGTGTGAACTGATTGGTCTCAGGTGCCAGAAGGATGGAATATAGCTTTTATTTATTTCTGCTATGGAAACTCAGACTACTGTATCTCTGAGATCAACGTAAGCCCTTCCATAAGAAATAAGTTACTTAGTTAACTTTCCTTCTCACTGAGCAGTGATCTCATCAGGGCTATCATTTTCTCCCTCTTCTCTTGTGTTTATGTGCCAATATTTATTGTGTACCTTACATGATGTCATAATTGTTTTATTGTAGATTATCAGTGAGCCATTCTTTCGCTTCAGTGATGGTAGTTTCATCTTTGTTTTTCTTATGTGTTATGCCATTGCTTCAATATTCTTTGCCTTTATGGTTAGCACGTTCTTCAATAAAGGTAAGTGTAAGACTCAATCTGTAACAGATTTTCTGGGGTTTTATTTTATTTTATTATTTTTAATGTAATTAACATAGTGTTATATTACTTTGAGGTATACAATATGATGATTCAACAATTCTGTACATTACTCAGTGCTCTCCCATCCCTTCAGAAAGTTAAAAATAAAACTATCCTATGATCCAGTAATCTCGCTAAAGATTATCTACCCCCAAAATACAAACACACTAATTCAAAGGGTTACATGAATCCCTATGTTTATAGCAGCATTATTTACAATAGCCAAGAAATGGAAGCAGCCCAGGTGTCCATCAATTGCTGAATGGATAAATACAATAGAATATTATTCAGCCATAAAAAAGAATGAAGTCTTACCATTTGCAGTGACATGGATAGAGCTACAGAACATTGTACAAGGCGAAATAAATCAGTCAGAGAAAGACAAATACCATATGATTTCAGTCTTGTGAATTTAAGAAACAAATGAACAAAGGGGAAAAAAGAGAAGACGTAAACCAAGAAACAGCCTCTTAATTATGGAGAACAAATAGGAGATAGGTAGGGGGATGGGGGAAATGGGATGGGGATTAAAGATTGTACCTATCATGATGGGAAAAAATGAAATAAAAAGATAAAAATTTAAAAATAAATATATGATATATCTGCATTCCCATATTCTTTACGGCAACCTAAATGTCCTTTGACAGGTGAATGGCTAAAGAAAATGTGGTATATATATATATATACACAATGGGGTATTTTTTGCCTTATAAAAGATGGAAATTCTGCCGTTTGTAAAAACATAGACCTGGATGACATTATGCTAAGCAAAATAAGCAAGACACAGAAAAACAAATACTACATGATACCACTTATCTAAGGAATCTAAAGTAGTCATACTTATAGAAGGAGAGTATGGAATGGTGGTTGCCAGGGGGTTGGGATAAAGGGCAGTTGGGAGGTAATAGTCAAAAGGTACAGAGTTTCATTGGGCAAAAATGAGTAAGTCTTAGAGATCTACTGTACAACATAGTGCTTATAGTTAATAATACTGTATTGTAAAAAGAACTTACTAAGAGGTACATTTTATGTTAACTGTTCATATCACCAAAAAATTAACAAGTAAAGAAGGCAGAGGGAAAAAAAGAAGGCAGAGGGAAACTTTGGGAGGTAATAAATATGTTTATAGTATAGATTGTGGTGTAATCACAAATGCTCACAGATAATACACCTACCTCCAAACTCAAGTTGTTTACATTAAATTTGTACAGCTTTTTATATGTCAGTTTTACCTCAGTAAAGCAGTTTAAAGAAAGAAAAAGACAGTTCATAATATTGTAGTTTGATTTGAGTGTTTTTATTTTCTTCATCAATGTTGATTTTTGTCATCTCAATGATAATCTTAACAAGAATTCTTTTTCTAGCCTATAGGATCCCATACTTATGGACCTAACTACATCTAACCCTCAGTAGTTAAATATTTATTTAACTATTCTTTATTTTGGGAATCATGATTTAAATTGGAAGCATGTGTTTAAAACTTCATAAAGAGCTCTTTTTGTTTAAATGACTGTAAATATCCTATACATTAACTGTTAATTAATTCATATATTTAACACATACTCACGGAGCACAGAGTGTGTGCCAGACATCAGTGATACAAGGGTGAAAAAGACAAATTCCCTTCCCTCTTAGAGCTTACATTCTGTTCCTATGATATAGTAGAAAAAGTTTATTTGTAATTCATTGTGCTGTATACTCTTTGAACTGAGCTTATAATTTCGTTATTTGCAGCCCATTTGGCTGCTTCTGCTGGAAGTCTCCTGTATTTTGCCAGTTTCTTTCCATATAATGCCATTTCCCATTACTACGGACCTATAACCCTCACTCAAAAGGTGGCTGCCTGTCTCAGCTCAAATGTTGCGTTGGCACTGGGGGTTAGTCATCTGCTCAAGTTGGAATTAAAACGTAAGTGTTTGCCTTGCAAATTTTGTCCTTGCTTTTTGATTCCTAAAAAGGTGAAATTGAGGCAGTGGGGTAGGGAGGGGTTGGACAATGGATAAAGAGATAAGAAAATTTTATAAAAATTATTTATCCCTAGATTTGTTAATTTATTATAAAGACAGTTATGGGAACTAAAAATATCAGAGGGGTGAAAAATTAGAAATTCTCCATCTCTCCACAGTAAGCCCCCAGTTATACTCTTAAGTAAAGTAATTTTAAACCTATTCTACCACTTGTTTTATTTACCTAATAATTTATTAGACCTTTTCTCACATAGATAGATGTTCATATTTTTTACAAAGTTGTTTAATAGTCTCTTATGAAGGAGCACTATAATTAGTTCTCTAGCAATACTTATTTAAATGGTTTCCAGTTTTTTTGCTATTACCCATAATAGTACACATATATTTGCTCCAACAGTATGCATGCTAATGTAAATACGTTTTTCAATATAAAAATGCTATAAGATAATCACAGCTTAATTTTTATTACTATTATGATAACTCAGTAAACATAGTGTTGATACTTCTAATTGGTTTTGAGGTAAGAACCTAATTTTATTTTCCATATGAAAATTGAGCTATTACTGTCATTTATTGTATAGTTTGTTGATTTCTACCGGTTTCTAATTCCACCTTTGTTTTATGTCAAGTTTCCATATATGCATGTATCGGTTTTTGATGATTTTTTTCCATTCTGTTGATCTTTTTTACTCTGTTTTTGTGTCAGTACTCCAATGGCTTTGCCCATAGCTTTATAACAAATCTTAATATGTTAGTTGTGTTCCCACAGCTTGTTTTTAGTTATTCTTGTCACTTTGCTTTCCACTTGAACTTTAGGATCACTTTGTCAAAATCTATGAAAAATCTTAGGTGATTTAGTGGAAATTTCATTACATTTATTGATTAATGAAGACAATTGAGGACTTAATTTTTTCACCCAGTGAACACATAGTCAGAAGAATATACATATAATTTATTTATGGATACTTGCATTATTCTTTCTTTATACATGAAACATTAAAATTTCACTAGAATTTATCTTTCATTGACTTAGTCTGCAACAGGATGTACGCTTTTGTTTTTCTATATGAGTTATTTTTTATTGAGTTAGTTCATTTAATTTAATTATTGTTTCTTTTCTGTATTACTTACTTCTCTTTTGGGAACTGCTACTGTGTTCTGGGTGGGAAGATTTCTCAAAGTCCCGCAGACTTCCTTAAATTTGCATTCTACCATTTTTGTTGTTGTTATTGTTTCAGATTTGCTCTTCACTGCCTCTCAAATTGGCTTTCATTTGGAAATTTTTAATTCTACTAAATAATTTTGTCTTAGATGGTTGTCTTTTTTATAGCTTTTTCAAAGACCCACTTGTTATTCAAAGTGCTGATGAATATTCTTTTCATGATACTGGTCTATAGATAGGAAAGGGAGGCTGAAGTTGAAGAGAGGGCAAGTTTCATTGGCTGTATTCATGAAGTGTCTTTGAATTAGGAGATCACTGCAAGTTTTCCAGTTGTGTTGCACTCTGTCCAGAAATAGAAGAAATAAAACAAAAGATTACTTCTCCTCCCTTTTATGGATGACTTTCTTTGTCCCTTCTATCGGAACTATATTTAAGCAAAACCTCTTTTTCTTCTGCTTGGTAGTCATCAACCGTCTCTAGTGCTGTTGAATCTTTTTCCAGATGTGTGTATCCTGATGATAGTTTAACTGTGAATTTAGTATGAAGGGATAGAAAAATAGGATCTACTAGGTCTGCTTTTTTCTTGACTTTTTTGTTATTGTTTATTTTTGTCTCATTCATTGACCTCGTCTCAGTCATTCCTATTTATTTTTATACATTTTGAAAGGAAAGAGGCAGAAACCTTATGATTACATATTCCACCATTTTTATTTTCTTGAACGACTTAAATAATAAAGGTGTCAACATACAGATCACTTACAGTGACAGGATTTAGAGTATCAGCCTTTTTTCTTTACTGTTTCACAGAGCTGTCATCTATGCTATTTCCTTTCTATTTCAGAAATTGGTATTAAGTGGGATAACATTTGGACACCAGTCAGCATTGAGGATAACTTCCTTTTTGGCTATATTTTGGTAATGCTTTTACTTGATGCTGTCTTGTACGGCCTTGTGACCTGGTATATAGAAACTGTCTTTCCAGGGCTGTATGGTGTGCCCCAGCCATGGTACTTTTTTCTTATGGTGAGTAATGCTGCTGTTAACTGCAAAAAGCCATAGTCCTTATGAACCTATTGCATATATTGACAGTCAAATCAAAAGGTCAGATGCAAAATCATTTTCATGTGCTTACCAGCCCATATGAAAATACTAACCATTTCTTGATACCTCTTAAAGCCTTCCACATATGCAAATGCACAGTATCTGTGAATAAGACACTGAAACCCCATACATTAACAATTGTGAGTAATAGAAGTCTTCTTCAGCCACGTGGTGCACAGTGGATTAGATTGGAGAGTAAAGAAATCTGAAAATCTGCAAACGCTGTTCCCAACTAAATAATATGTGATGATTTCTTAGATCCTAGTGAGTAGCATATTATGATTAAGTATTTCCCATATCTGTGTTCTCACCACCTGTTTACTTTCAAGAATTAGATCAGTTTACTTAGAGTAGGATATCTAAGTTTTGCCCTCTATGCCCCCTTACCATTACTGGATAATTACATAGCAAAAAGAAGGTATTCTGACCAAGTGTGGTAAAATGCATTGGCCATGACTTCATTGTTGAGTAATTGCATTTTGTCTTCCCTTCCTAAACATTTCAAAAGAATTGTTGCTTCTCAGTCCTAGAAATACAAATCATACATAATTTTGAATTAAAATTCAATCCTTGAAAGTATGTAGTAGCCACAGAGTAAACCAGGCCAAATTATCTTCAGGTATTATAGTGTCTCATTTCTTTTTTCACATTAAAATTTTTAATTCAGGTGAAATCCATATAAGTTAAAGTTAACCATTTTGAAGTGGAAAAAAAAGTGGAATTTAGTACAACTACAATGTACTTGTACATGCCTAATTCTAAACTATTTACATTACACCTAGATAAAACCTTATACCCAGTAAGAAGTCACATTGGATTTTTCCCTATCCCAAGCCCCTAGCAACCACTAATCTGCTTTTTTTCCCCCAAGGATTTACTATTCTGGATGTTTCATATAAATAGAATCATATAATATATGACTATTTGGGTCTGGCTTCTTTCACTAATTAATATTTTTGAAGTTCATCCATTAGTATGTATCAGCACTTCATTCTGTTTGATTGCTGAATAATATTTCATTAATATATACATATATATAAATATATATAAATTTATATATATAAGCTTATATATATAAGGAATATGTATATATTCCTTTATCAACCTGTAGTCAGACATGTAGGATATCTTTTGGCTGTTTGAGTAGTATCTATAAGTATTTGCTTGAATAACTGTTTAAATTCTTTTGAGAATATACCTAGAAATGGAACTGCTAGCACTTGGGATAATTCTGTTTCATGTTTCCAGGAACCACTAAACTGTTTTCTGCAGTGGCTGTACCATTTGTACATTCCCACAAGCAATGTACCAGGGTTCCAATTTCTCCACATCCTCACAAACCTTTGTTATTCTTTATTTCCTTTATTATAGTCATCCTCATGGGTATAAAGTGGTATCTCATGGTTTTGATTTCCATTTCCCTGATGAGGAAAAAAAACACTAATCATGTTGAGATATTTTCAGGTGCTTATTGGCCATTTGGATATATTACTTACAGAAATGTCTGTTCAAGTTCTGGAACTATTTTTTAACTGGGTTGTCTTTTTATGTATTCTGGACAGTAGAGCCTTATCAAATACATAATTTGCAAATATATTCTTTTTACTCTCTTCATAGTACTCTTTCATGCACAATAATTTTTTAACTTTGATTAAAACCAGTTAAATACTTTTTATCTTTTGTTGGTTGTGTGTTTTGTGTCATATCTAAAAAGCCGTTGTCAAATCCAAAGTCATCAGAATTTACCCCTGTGTTTGCATCTAATAATTTGATGGTTTTATCTCTTAAATTTAGATCACTGATCAATTTTGAGTTAATTTTTCTATAATGGGAGGTAGGGATTCATCTTCATTGTTTTGAGTGTGGATATCTCATTGTCTGAATACCATTCTTTTCCACTGAATGGTTTTAGCACCCTTGTTGAAAATCAGTTGGACATAGATGTATGGTTTCATTTTTGGACCCTCCGTTTTATTCCATTGGCCTATATGTCTATCCTTATGTCCCTACTATAGTGTTTGATTGCTATATTTTTATAGTAAGTTTTGAAATATGAAAGTGCGAGTCATCCAACTTTCTTCTTTTTCAAGATTATTTTGGCTATGAGGGGGCCCTGATGTTTCCATAAGAACTTGAGAATCAGCTTTTGTATATCTGCAAAAGTCACCATTAGAATTTTTATAGGGATTACATTGAATCTGTTGATTGCTTTAAGTAATATTGCCATGTTAAAAATACTGTCTTTCACAAGGTTTGGAATTTACCTAGAAGGGTCAGGAAGGAGAAAGATGAGACAGGAAAGGAAGGGAGCCAGAAAAGAGAACATCTGCACCTTGGGCACCTGGAGCCCAGGGTGATGCAGAGAACTGCAAATCAGTGTAGAGCACCCACTGATGATCTCAGAATCATCCCTCCTCCACCAAAAGATTGTCTTTTAGTCCAAGACTTTTTATTTATATAAGTCTTCTTAAATTCTTTCACTGAAGTTTTATAGTTTCAGTGTGTGAATTGTTCACCTATTTGGTTAACTTTATTCCTAAGTATTTTACTCTCTTGAATCTTATTATAAATAAAATTATTAGAATAGAATTTTCTTTTGGAATTGTTCATTGCTGGTATATACAAACATGACTGATGTATACATGTTGATCTTTTATCTTGCATCTTTGCTGAATTTGCTTATTAACTCTACTAGTGTGTTTAGAGGAGGATTCCTTGGACTCTTTAATATGTCACATCATGTTATCTTCAAATACAGATAGTTCTACTTCTTTATTTCCAATTTAGATGCCTTTTATTTCTTCTTCTTGCCTCCTTGCTCTAGCTAAAACTCCCAGGATAGTGGTGAATAGCAAAGATGAAAGCAGGTATTCTTGTCTTATTCCTGGTTTTAGAGGAAAAGCTTTCACTTTTCCTTTTCCAACTTCACCTTTCCTTTTTTCACTTTCATTTTCCTTTTTTGCTTTCACTTTTGAGCATGATATTAGCTATGGGTTTTTTCATAAATTCTCTAGTGAATTTCAAGAAAGTTTTCTTCTGTTCCTAATTTTATGAATGTTTTTATCATGAAACACTTTGTCAGAGACTTTATTTGCATCAGTTGAAATGATTATGTATTTTCCCTTTTTTCTATTAGTGTGATATATTGCAGTGATATTTGTTTTTTTTCATATTTTTATTTAATTCTAATTATTTCTCATATAGTGTAATATTGGATTCTGGAGTAGAATTTAGTGATCCATCACTTATATGTAACACCCAGTGCTCAACACAAGTGCCTCCTTGATACCCATCATCCATTTAACCCATGACCCACTCACCTCCCCTCCAGCAACCCACAGTTTGTTCTCTATAGTTAAGAGTCTCTTGTGGTTTTCTTCCCTCTATTTTCCCCCTTCCTCTGTGTTCAGCTGTTTTGTTTCTTAAATTCCACGTATGAATGAAACCATATGGCTCTCTGACTGACTTATTTTGCTTAGCATAATAAAATCAATATGCATTGATCAACTTTCCTGTGTTGAGTCACTCTGCATTCCTGGGATAAATCCCACTTTGTCATGATGTATGTCCCCTTTGAGATGCTATTGGATTCAGTATGCAAGTAATTTTTAAAATATTTTTTAGATCCATTATTAGGAAGCGACATTGGTCTGTGGTTTCTTTTCTTGTGATGGCATTGTCTGACTTTGGTGTTTGCCTCCAGACTAATGTTGAGCTCATAGAATGAGTTAGGAAATGCTCCTTCCTCTGACCCTTTGTGGAAGGCTTGGTGAAAGATTGTTATAATTCTTGTTTAAGTGTTTGGTACAAGTAAAGACATCTGGTCCTGGATTTTTCTTTGTAGGCAGGGATTTAAAAGTAATCACTTTACTCACTATAGGTCTGTTCAGATGGAATGCTTCATTTCTTAAAACTCATCTTGGTAATTACATTTTGACTTTCTTTATAGCCTTCATACTGGTTTGGTGAAACAAAAATAAGGAGAAAACAAGAAATGAAAAGCTGTGAAAAAACTCCAAGCATGCATTTTGAGGCTGAACCTACTAGTTTGGTGGCAGGTATCCAGATCAAAAATTTATACAAGGTATTTGTTTCAAAGGTCTCCAAAGACTGAAAGCTATATACTGTGCCCTGGGTTTGTAACTGGTCATTTCTAGAAAACAAGTAAGATGTTTAGTAAAGAGTCATAATCAATATAGTTCTAATTTAAAAGACATTCATAGAATATATAAATATGGATATATCTTTCATATAGTCTTATTTACTCCTTTCTTTCTGCTTACTTCTAATCTCCTCTGATGGCTTGACAACAAGTGATATTTGAAATTTGTAATAAATTCTGTGAAGAAAATAAACTAGATGATATGAGTAACATTTGAGTGTGAGGAAGAGGATAACACTAAATGTAAGTAAAGAGAAACCTCTCTGAAGAGATGAATTTTGAGCTGAGATCTAAAGGATAAGTAGATCCCTTCTTAATAAATACCCTCGAGAGAGTCAGGATAGAAGGAACTTAAACATCATAAAATCCATTTATGCGAAGCCCTCAGCTAATATCAGCTTCAATGGGGAAAAACTAAGAGCTTTCCCCCTGAGATCAGGAACACGACAAGGATGTCCTCTCTCACCACTGTTGCTTAACATAGTGCTGGAAGTCCCAGCATCAGCAATCAGACAGCAAAAGGAAATAAAAGGCACCAGAATTAACAAAGAAGTCAAACTTTCACTTTTTGCAGACAACATGATACTCTACATAGAAAATCTGACAGACTCTACCAGAAGCCTACTAGAACTGATCCATGAATTCAGCAAAGTCGCAGGGTACAAAATCAGCATACAGAAATTGGTTGCATTTTTATATACCAATAATGAAGCAACAGAGAAATCAAGACACTGATCCCATTCACAATTGCACAAAAAAACCAGTAAATGCCTGGGAATAAACCTAACCAAAGATATAGGAGATCTGCATGATGAAAACTATAGAAAACTTATGAAGGAAATTGAAGAAGATGCAAAGAAATGGAGAAACATTCCATGCTCATGGATCGGAAGAATAAATATTGTTAAAATGTCATTACTATCCAAAGCAATCTACATGTTCAATGCAATCCCAATCAAAATTGCACTGGCATTCTTCTCAAAGCTAGAACAAAGTATCCTAAAATTTGTATGGAACCACAAAAGACCTCGAATAGCGAAAGTAATTTTGAAGAAGAAAACCAAAATGGGAGGCATCACCATCCCAGACTATAGCCTCTACTACAAAGCTGTCATCATCAAGACAGTATAGCACTGGCACAAAAACAGACACATAGACCAATGGAATAGAATTGAGAACTCAGAATTGAACCCACAAATGTATGGCCAACTAATCTTTGACAAAGCAGGAAAGAGTAGCCAGTGCAAAAAAGATAGCTTCGTTAACAGATGGTATTGGGAGAACTGGACAGCAACATGCAGAAGAATGAAACTAGATCACTTTCTCACACCATACACAAAAATAAACTCAAAATGGATAAAGGACATGAATGTGAGACAGGAAACCATCAAAACCCTAGAGGAGAAAGCAGGAAACAACCTCCTTGTCCTCCACCGCAGCAATTTCTTACTTGACCTATCGCCAAAAGCAAGGGAATCAAGAGCAATAATAAACTATTGGGATCCATCAAGATTAAAAGCTTCTGCACGGCAAAGCTTTTAATCCATAAAACTAATAGGCAACCAATGGAATGGGGAAAGATAGTTGCAAATGACACTTCTCCAAAGAGACACTTTTCAGATGGCCAACAGACACATGAAACGATGTTCAGCGTCCCTCCTCATCAGGGAATACAAATCAAACCACACTGAGATACCACCTCACGCTGGTCAGAGCAGCTAAAATGAACAAGTCAGGAGACTCTAGATGCTGGCAAGGATGTGGAGAAATGGGCACCCTCCTACACTGTTGGTGGGAAAGTAAACTGGTGCAGCCCCTCTGAAAAACAGTGTGGAGGTTCCTCAAAAAATAAACAATAGAACTCCCCTCTGACCCAGCAATAGCATTGCTAGGAATTTACCCAAGGGGTACAGGAGTGCTGATGCATAGGGGCACATGTACCCCCATGTTCATAGCAGCCCTTTCAACAATAGCCAAATCATGGAAAGAATCTAAATGTCCATCAACTGACGAATGGATCAAAAGATGTGGTTTATCTATACAACAGAATACTACATGGCAATTTGGAGCAACGTGGATGGAACTGGAGGGTGTTATGATGAGTGAAATAAGTCTGGCAGAGAAAGACAGATACCATATGTTTTCACTTATAAGTGGATCAGGAAGAACTTAACAGAGGACCATTGGGGAGGAGAAGGGGAAAAAATAGTTGGGGAGAAGGAGGGAGGCAAACCATGAGAGACTCTTGAATACCAAGAACAAACTGAGGGCTGATGGGGGTGGGGAAGAAGGGAAGGGGGTGACGGGCATGGAGGAGGGCACTTGTGGGGATGAGCACTGGGTGTTATATGGAAACCAACTTGACAATAAACTATGTAAGAAAAAAAAAGAATTCTGCAATAAACATAAATTTTTTTAAAAAGTAAAGAATAAGTAGAGCTAATTATTTGAAAAGCTAAGAGAAGAATACTCACTGTAGGCAAATAGCAAATTCAAAGACCCTGAGGTGAGAAACATATTCATGTGTTTGAGAAACAAAAAGACCAGTATATTAGGAGGCAAAAGAATGATAGTAAATGGCTTCATTTGGGAAGCCATTGTTTGGCTCAAAGCACTGGAGAAAAATTATATATGTGTTTTAGAGACATTTTGGCTACCATGTGGAAAGTGGGATGTTGAAGGGTGGGAAGTTGAGAAGAAATGTGGGGAAAAGAAGACCAGATGGTACTTTTTAATAAGAAATAAGAATTAGATAAGGGTTGGGGAAGTATACATAAAGAGAAATGGACAGATCCAAAAGATATCCAACAGAACTGAGAATAACTGGGGGATAGGTGGACATTGAAGGAAGAGGAAGAAACTAGGATGATTCCTAGAATGATGAACTAGACTAAGATGTTAAAAACAGCAAGTCTGTTATTTACCAAGTTTTAGTAGATTGTCTTAAATAAATGTTTCTTCATTTGCTGTATGCCCTTAGAACAATTCTTGAAGACTTTAAGTGATTGTTGTTTTCTTTTGTTCTTTCATTTTCATCAGCTTCTCTTGTTTCATTGGAGAGTGAGTCTGTGGTGCCCTTCATGCTGTTTCCCAGAAGTGAAACTCTGTATCATCCATTTTTGTGGAATTACTTTTCTTAAATTTGGCTTAGATTCTTTTTACTTAGGTTAATGATGGATATTAGTCTGTTGCTTTCACTTTCTGTAAGGCATTTTTCTGATTTTGCTATCAGGATAATCCAACTTCATAGGGTGAGTTGGGAAGTATTTCCTCTTTCCTTTTCCAGGGAAGTTTTGTACAACTTGTTTTATTTAGTTTGCAATTACTTGGGATATTCCAAAGGTCTTTTTGTTACTAATTTCTAATTTAAGTCTGGTGAGAAAAGATACTTTGTATGACATGGATCCTTTTAAACATACTGATTCTTGTTGTGTGACTCAGACTATCATCTGTCTATATAAATGTCATATGCATACTTGAAAATAATGTATAATCTGATGTTGGCCTTTGGAATGATACATAAATGTTAGTTAAGTCAGGTTAGTTTGTAGTTTATTAAGTATTCTATATCCCTAATGATTCTACATAGTCTAGCAATAATTGAAAGTACTGAAATCTTTAAAAATAACTGCTTTTTTTCTGTTTTTCACTGTAGCTCTTTTGCCTTGTATATTTTTGAATCTGTTACTGGGTGCCTAAACATTTAGGAAAATTGTGTCTAATTGAAAAGCTGATCTCTTTATCATTATAAAATGATATACTGTGACAATTTTCTTCACTCTTAAATGTGCTTTAACTAATGTTAATATACCACACCACTTATCTTTTTTTCTTGTTGTTGAATTCTATATTATTGTGTAATAATACTAAAAGTTACAGGGTATCAGTTTTGTGCCAATGCAAATAGTAAATTCAAATGTTTTTTGAAATGTTTCTGTAGTTCATCATATTTGAAAAAAAGCAATATCAACTAGGCAATATCCATATGTTTTTAAAACTGCTTTATTAATATTTAATTAACATACAGAAAAAACTGAGTTCCAGTCCAAGATGGTACCATACGAAGACCCTGAACTCCCCTCCTCCACAGACACATTTATAGAACATTTCCTCCTGAAGAAGGACTGAGGGCTGACTGAGCAGCTTCTGCAAATGATAGAGAATGCATAGACAATAATAAGCAAGATGGAGACCATTCCTTCAAGTTTAGGAGAAGTAGCTGTTCTGCCTAATTCATAGAAATAAACATGGAAAGTCAAGCAAAATGAGACAGAGGAATATTCTCCAAACAAAAGAACATGACAAAACCTCAGAAAAAAAACTAAATAAAGCTGAGATAAGCAATGTTCCTGATAAAGAATTTTAAGTAATGATCATAAAGATACTCCCTAGACTGCAGCAAAAAGTGGAAGAACTTGGTGAGAACTTCAACAAAGAGAGAAAATGTAAAAGAAAAAAAGCCATTCAGAGTTGGAGAATACAGTAACTGAAATGAAAACTACACTGGAGAGAATTAGCAGTAGATTAACAGATGCAGAAGACAGGATCAACGATTGGGAAGACAGGGTAATGGAAAGCACTCAAGCTGAACAGTGAAAAGAATTTAAGTAGGCTCCATGCCCAGTGCAGGGCTTGAACTTATGACCTTCGGATCAAAAATCAGATGCTTTACCAACTGAGCCAGCCCAGGAGTCATGCAAAAGGGATTTTTTTTTTTTAAGATAGGTTAAGGTATCTCTTGGACAACATCAGATGAACAAATACTGACATTCCGGGGACTCCAGAAGGAGAAGAGAAAAATAAAAAGGCAGAAAACTTATTTGAAGAGGATAATAAAACTTTCCTAACCAGGGGAAGGAACATATATCCAAGTTCAGCAAACAGAGAATTCCAAACAAGATGAACTCAGGAAGATCCACACCATGATATACAATAATTAAAATATCAGAGATTACACAATTCTGGACTTCAAATTATATTACAAAACTGTAGTGATCAAAACTAGTATGGTACTGATGCAAAAAATAGACACATAGACACTTAGATCTATGGAATAGAATAGAAAATCAGAAACGAACCCACAACTATATGGTCAACTAATCTTTGACAAAGCAGAAAAGTATAGCCAATGGGAAAATGACAGTCTCTTCAACAAATGGTGTTGGGAATACTGGACAGCAACATGCAAAAGAATGAAACTGGACTGCTTGCTTATACCACACACAAAAATAAATTCAAATGCATTAAAGACTTAAACGTGTGACAGGAAACCATAAAAATCCTAGAAGAAACCACAGTCAGTAAGGTCTCTGATATCAGCTGTAGAAACATCTTTCTTGATAGGTCCCCTGAGGCTTTGTTCTTTTATTTATTTTATTTATTTTATTTTTTACTCATTTCTGTAATTTGTCTTTTATTGTTTCTATTGCTGTATCTTTATTTTTTTTCTTTTGCAGTGTCTGATCTGCATTTGTAAATCATCAAATTTATTTTCATTTTAGAAATTATGGTTTCTATCACTAGAAGGTCTGTTTGTTTTTAAAGTATTTTCTATATCTTAGCTTTTTAAAAATATGGCATAGACTTAGAATAATCATTGTAATGTGTTTGCTCATTTTAACATATTTGTCAGTTCTGGGTTGATTTCAGTTGATGGATATTCTCATTCTGGGCCATATTATCCTTCTTCAGATTTTTGGATTCTGGCTATTTTTATATTCCCTGAATACTTGCTTTTGTTTTAGGAAGAATTAAGTTACTCTACAATAGTATGATTCTTTCATTTCTGCACTACATAGTCCATAGTTAATTACTTCCCACTATTGATTGAAATCAGACCCTTCTTTCTACACACTGCCCTATGAATCTTGAAATTTTTTAGTCTGTCTAGTGGGAATAAGCACCCTTTCTGGCCCTAAATGAATGCCAGCAGCTGTTCTCTATAACCTTTAAATAGTTCTTTGTCCAACCTCAGGTAGTTTCATCATATGCATATGTTTATCAGTTCTTACCTGAATACTCTGGGGTGTCTCACTTTAGATCTCCAGATTTCTCCCTGCATACATCTGTCTCCCCTTCAGTATTCTGTCCTTTCACCTCAGTAGACTCCCAGCTCCCTAACTTCAAGACTCCAGTAGATTGCTGGACTGTACCTGAGTTACTCCTCTCTGTGCCATGACTCTGACTTTATCTAGATAAGCTAGGACAATCATGGGACTTACCTTATTTGTTTTCCAACTCTTAGGAATCACTGTCATTTGTTATCTGATGTCCAGTATTACCATTTGTTTCACACGTAATACTATCACACCTCCATTTTTTACGACCTTTGTTTTGTTCATACTGTTGATCATATATACATTTTTTTCTTAACTACTTTTACAAAAGCTTCATTAAAGTGAGGCTTTATATATTCCTAGATATAAACTTAGCTTATAATGCTAAGCCTTATACCTAGCGGGCATTCAGTAAATAGTTAATTGAATAAAGAATGGTCACCCCGGCCTAATTAATTGGACTTGGTGACTTATTGCATACAGAAGTTAATAAGAATGGATAAGTGTAAGATTATACCTACATTTCTGTTTTGTGTATCTACATGAATTTGGGAGTCATTTACTGATGGAGCACAGCTGAGGAGCATATTTTCAGGGGATGATGATGAGCAGAGTCTTAGATATATTGAATTTGAGATATTCACAAATATTTAAACTTATGTGTCTAGTAGGCATTTGGAAAAGCAGAGCTATAGCTTTGGGGAGAGATAGTGAAAGCAGATTATATTATCAGTATCTATAAGGTAGTTGAATTTATAGGAGAAAATTAGCTTCCTAAGGCAGTTGTTTTCAGCTGGGATGATTGTGTCCCCTCAGGGAACATCTGACAATATGTGGAGATATTTTGGTTGTCCCAGCTAAGGTAGGGAGAGGTGAAGAGAGGCATGCTAATGGCATCTAGAGAGTAGAGGCCAGGGAAGCTGCTAAACATCCTGCTGAGACACAGGAGAAACCTCCAAAACAAAGAAGTCTTTAATCCAGAGTATCAATAGTGCTATTGAGGAGAAGCCCGTGCTTAGAGAGAGTTCGTAGACTTCCTGTTTTGCATTTTCTCTTGTCAATTTGTCAATACTACTTCCATTTCTAAGGTTTCTCCAGAATTGCAAAAGAGAACCCATTAACTGTAGTCTCCCAAATTCCCTCTTTTATTTGCTTACTAGTTAGAATTTGCCAATGGGAGGCACTTCCAGACAGACACATACACATATTTTAGATGTGTCTAGGTGAGTTCTTGGGACCCACAGGTTTTATAATTTCAGAATGAAATAGGAATTTCCAAGATACCCATTAGAATCATTGTCAAATATGTCCTATTAAGGATTGGATAAATATTTTAGGTTTCATGGGTCACAGTGTCTATCCCATATTCTTTTTTTCTAACAAGTGTCTAAGAGTATAAAGACCATTTGTAGCTCATTGGCTATACAAAAACAGATAATGGGCCATATTTGACTTTTCCAACTCTTGCTTTGAATCTCAAGAATTTGCAGGCATGTTGTTGTGAATCACCAAATTTCTGGTTAAAATCATGCCGTCAATTTTCTGATCATTGGTGGCAACTTCTGTGAGGTTCCCTAGCTCTTACTATAACTGAGTAAGTCCATAATTACTATTTTACACTCTTCATATATAGAATATAGAGAGATCTCCATTTTCCTTACCAAAACTGAATATCACTGTGCCTTCACACCTATTTTGCCTAATGTATAAACTCATTGCACCTACAGATATTATTCGTTGTTCTCAACATTATCTTTTTTCATGAGTTTGATAGTATAAGGTTTCTTTTTTTTAACTTTTTGTTGAAGTATAGTTGACACACAACATTATAGCTACAGTAATAGCTACAGTAGTAGCATTACAGGCATACAACATAGTGATTTAACAAGTCTGTATGTTATGCTGCGCTCACCACCAGTATAGTTACCATCTGTCACCCTACAGTGCTATTGCAATACCACTGACCATATTCCCTGTGCTGTACCTTTCATCCCCATGACCTGTTAGTGCATAACTGGAATCCTGTACCTCCCCTTGCCCTTCACCCATTTTATAATGCTTCATCTAAGCATGTGAGTGTTGTATCTTTCATAAGTGATAGTGAAAGATATCAAGTTATTCTTTCTTTTATTTCACAGGAATTCAATAACAAAGTAGTAGTAAACAACATGTCTTTGAATTTATATAAAGGGCAAATCACTATTCTTCTAGGACAAAATGGGGCAGGAAAAACCACAACCTTGTCTATTCTCACAGGTATGTTTTCAGTACTGTTTAGAACAGAAGTCAGGTTCCTTCTAAGACTTCAAACCAATCAGCACCTTGTGGTATTGAGTATGTTGTCATTTCAGTGTTGGAGCTATTATTATACTTTAATTATTTATAACCAAGATGCTCTTGGTAATGTAATAAATTTATTCATTTATTCAATGAAAATATTTATATTGCCAGTTCTTTTTATAGGAATTGATAATACAGAGGTGATCACAAGGTTGTTATGCTCAGTTTTGTACACTAGTGGAAATATGGAAAAGAAACTTGAAACTTAACATCCTAAGTATGAGAGGAGATGTTATATGTGGGATGCTATTCACCTAGAATAGAATGATACCTAACCTATTGGGGGAGAGGAATGAGATAAAGGGAAGTGACATCAAATAATATAAGTAGGTATAAAGGTCTGTGAATCAAACCAAAGAATATCATAGGCATAAACAAAGACCAGAAGGTTTGAAAGCAGGGAACTGACTAGATCACAGATGGAATTTGAATAATAGCAAAAGATAAAGCTAAAGGAATAACCAAAAGTTTAAATCATGAAGGGTTTGGGGGGAAAACATGCTATGAAGATTAGAATTTATGCTGAGGACAGTGAGAAGCAAAGGAAGAATATTTTATGTAGGTTTTTATTTTAGATGCACTGCATCTACTAGAAAGGAAGAATGGATAAAGAATACCAAGGCCCATTAGGACAGTGAATCCTGTGTTGTGTGTTAGGTTAGCCTAAGTCCTAGAGACTAGAGCAAGGCTGAGCCTAGTAGTTAAGATATAATAGCCTCTCCTTTGAAACTAAAATGGTGCCAAAACTAGGTCAGGAAGGGCAGACACGGCCCACAGTCTCTGCTATTTTAAATATTTGAACTGTTTCCCTCTAAGTCTCAGTTAAAACTCTTCTTTTTTTTTTTTTTTTTTTTTTTTCAGTTAAAACTCTTCTTAAAAATATGACCACCTGGCTAGTATCACAAGGTTATGATTTGAATTATCATTAACTATATGATATTATAGTTAATATATGCATTATATATATTTGATATCCTTTACATAAGTTTTCTTGGAGCACACTCCATGTGGTACATGTTATCTCAGAACACATATAATGCAGTTTTCCATCTGCGCGTGCTCATGCCCTTTCTCTCAGGGAGAGTGCCTGAACCACCTCTCCACCTGTTGAAATCCTATTCATACGCCAAGATGGAGCTCAGCAGCAACCATCAAGAGCACATTGTCAGAGGTAGTACCTCCAAGTTCCGGTCGGTTCACAGAAAAGATAGATAAACAAGCGCGAAATGTCAGAAACAATTTTGCCAGAACTCTGGGAATGGGCAAAGACTTACAGCAATTAAATAAGACTGAATGAAGAAAAAGGCAGTGTAGAAACAGGAGGTTTCTGGGTGGCTCAGTTGGTTAAGCATCTGACTTTGTCTCAGGTCATGATCTCACAGTTCACATTCAAGCCGAGTCAGGCTCTGTGCTGACAGCTCAGAGCCTAGAGCCTGCTTTGGATTCTGTGTCTCCCTTCCTCTCTGCCCCTACCTTGCTCATGCTCTGTCTTTATTTTTCTCAAAAATAAACTTACATGAAAAAATTAAAAAAAAAAAAAAAAGAAACGGGGTGAGAGTGATATCACTAGTGGTGGACTGAGAAGATCCAGGCCCTCATCCCCCACAGAGACACTGAGTTAACCAGACAAAAATACCTTTTTTAAACTCCGGGAGCACCTCGGTGGCTCAGTCGGGTGAGTGTGACTCTTCATTTCAGCTCAGGTCATGATCAGGTTCATGAATCCGAGCCCCGCATCAAGTTCTACACTGTTGGCACAGAGCCTGCTTCAGATTCTCTCTCTCTCTTCCTCTTTCTCTGCCTCTCCCCTGCTGTGCACTCACTGTCTCTCTTTCTCTCTTGCGCGTTCTCTCTCTCTCCCTCTCTCTCACTCTCTCTCCTCTCAAAAACAAAAAAACAAAACAAAACAAAAGTAAATAAACTTTAAAACTCTGGGAACCAGTTTGGATGCTGCAGCATGCAAATGAGTGCATAGTCAGTACCAAAAAGGTCAAGAAGCTTATGGCATTTTCTCACCCTGATACCTCCCCCTACATGGCACGGCACCATCAGTAGGAAATGTCCCAATTCTAAGCTTCTCCCTTGGGACAGAAGGAAGACTTGAACTTGTATCCGATGTTCTCTCTCATCTAGGAGCTGCCCAAGGAACTGGTTTCTGTCTTGCCTAATAGAGCACTAATGGGAGTGGCAACATGGTATGGATGCCACATTGGAATTCACAGAAAAACAGAGGCAAACTCTGCAGCACTTTGAAGTGCTTTACAGCAGCAGGAAATCTGCAGTTCCCCCATTCCAGGTACCAAGCCACAACACAGGCAGAGAACTACAAAAGAAACACAATCTCCAAGCTGTTTAGGGAAACTAAGACAGTTTAAAGCAACCATATGCAGTGGAATGAAAGCATATGCATAACCCCAGAGAAGACACATCCCCAGAAAAATGTCTCTAAGTTCCTAAAAACTCTAGCAGGAATGATTGGTAAAGGACTTCCCATGCATGAAGCCAATCCATAAAGACTGGGAGAGATGTCTGTTTTTTAAATGTTCACATCTCAACAAAACATAACAAGGCATACAAAGAAACAAGCCTGCCCCAATCAAAGGAACAAATTTAAGTTCCAGAACCTGACCCTTAAGAAACACAAACCTCTGAATTACCTGACAAAAAGTTATCCTAAAGATATTCAGTGATTTGAAAGAGAACACAGATAATGAAATGAGGAAAATGATGCATGAACAATTAAAATACTAACAGACATAGAACTAATTTTTTAAAAACCTAAAATGAATCATGGATGTGAAAAATATAATGATGAATTTGAAATTTTTGTGAGAGGGTTTCATCAGCAAAATTGATCAGGCAGAAATATGAATTACAAAATTTGAAGGGGGCACCTGGTTGGCTCAGTTGGTTGAGGCTCAGAGGTTAGCTCGGGTCATCATCTCCCAGTTCATGGGTTCAAGCCTTGCTTCAGCTTCCATGATCTTTGCTAACAGCTCAGATCCTGGAGCCTGCTTCAAATTCTATCTCCTTCTCTCTCTCTGCCCCTCCCCTGCTCACATTCTCTCTCTCTCTCTCTCTCTCTCTCTCAAAAATAAATCAACATTAAAAAAATGTTTATTTGCAACCATCAAGTCAAAGGAGTGAAAAAAAAGAAAGAAGAAAAGTAAAGAGACCCTAAATGACTTATGGGATATTATCAAGTGGGCCACTGTATACATTATGGTCCCAGAAAGTCCCAGAAAATAAGCTAGAGAAAGGGACAGAGTATTTAGTTGAAAATAATGACTGAACACTTGCCAAATTTGAGGAAAGAAATGGATGTGCAAATTCAAGAAGGTCAACAAATTACAATAAACTGTGATAGAAAACCACAAAAGAGACGCATAATAATCGGACTAAAAATTCGAAGAAAGTCTTGAAAGAAGAAAGATAAAAGTGACTTTTCAATTGTAGTTGGTGCTCTTCAAGATTTTCAGAGGATTTTTCAGTGGAAACGTTGAAGGCCATAAAGCAGGATATTATATTCAAAGCTCTGAAATTAAAAATAGTTAAATCCTCCTTACATCTCAGGTATAAATCCCATTTGAACATGGTGTATGATCCTTTTAACGTGTTCTTGAATTCAATTTGCAAGTCTTTTGTTGAGGATTTCTGCATGTTTTCATCAAAGTTATTTGCCTTGTGGTATCTTTATCTAGCTTTGGTATTAGGGCAATTTTGGCCTCATTAAAATTAGTTTGGAAGTATTCCCTCATCTTCAGTTGTTGGAAGAGTTTGAGAGGATTGGCATTAATTCTTCTTTAAATTTGGTAGGGATAGAGGGAATATACCTCAATATCCTACAGGCTATATATGAAAACCCCACAGCTAATATCATCACCGGAAAACTCTGAGAGCTTTTCCTCTATGGTCAGGAACAAGACACAGGGATGTCCACTCTCACCATTGTTATATAACATAGTAACTGGAAGGCCTAGCCTCAGAAATCAGACAACAAAAAGAAATAAAAGGCATCCAAATCAGCAAGGAAGAAGTTAAGCTTTCACTATTTGTGCATGACATGATATTCTATGTACAAAACCCAAAAGACTCCATCAAAAAATTACTAGAATTGATACACTAATTCAACAAAGTCATAGCATACAAAATCAATATGCATAAATCTGTTGCATTTCTACACACAAGAAATGAAGCAGAAGAAAGGAATCTAGGAATCAATCCCATTTACAGTTGCACCAAAAAGAGTAAGATACCTAGGAATAAACCTAACCAAAGAGGTAAAAGATTTGTCCTCTGAAAACTATAAACACTTATGAAGGAAACTGAATATGGCACAGAGAAATGGAAAAGCATTCTATGTTCACGGATTGGAAGAACAAATGTTAAAATGTCTATATCCCCCAAAACAGTCTACACATTTAGTACAATCTCTGTCAAAATACCACCAGCATTTTTCACGGAGCTAGAACAAACAATCCTAAACTTTGAATGGAACCACGCAAAATCTTGAATAGCCAAAGCAATCTTGAAAAGGAAAAGCAAACCTGGAGGCATCACAATTCTGGACTTCAAGCTACATCACAAAGCCATTGTCATTAAGACAGTATGGTACTGGCACAAACACACATGGATCAATGGAACAGAATAGAAAACCCAGAAATGGACCCACAACTATATGTTTAATTGATCTTTGACAAAGCAGGAAAGAATATCCAGCAGAAAAAAAGACAGTCTGTTCAACAAATGGTGTTGGGAAAACTGGACAGCTACATGCAGAGGGATGAAACTGGACCACTTTCTTATACCATATACAAAAATATTTCAAAATTGGTGGAAAGACCTAAATGTCTGACAAGAAACCATCAATCATTTACTAGAGGAAAACACAGGCAGGAATTCAACGATACCAACTT